TGGCTAAAAAGATGGAGTAGGCTTCAGGCCAGGCAGATTGGGGATTGTTTTCGGATGGGATTATCTTGATACATTTATTAGACTCCAGGGCATGTGCAGTAACACTGATGACACAAATCCATTCTCCTTACCGTGTTAGTATGCGGCACTGGTATCTTCATGAGCTCAGCTTCTTAACAAAGCTCTATCTTGTAAATCATAACTTTGTTTGGGCCAAGATATTAATTTTAGGGCATCTGGCTGACCACTCTTCACATGCATCAAACAGAGTTTGATGGTGAAATAGCTGAGAGGACAACAGGCAAAGATCTTCTCCTGTTGTTTGGAATTCATGTTATCATACTGGATAACATGATCGATCAGGTTTTACACAAACGTGGAGCTTTCTAAAGCATGCCTTTTTTTCTTAGGTGGTGTAAAGGGACTTGTATAGATATAGTCAATAAAACAAAAGGGAAATTCCAAATAATAAAAAACTTTAAAATTTGTTTAATTCTTTCTTTATGAAAAACAATTGAATAAATATATAGTTCAGTCATGAAACTCTAGATGGCGCAGGCGACGGGTTGTTAACATAACCGATGATATTCAGAGAGTTAAACGACTTGGCACAGCTGATTGGTCCATGCTGCATGTGCAGCCAATGAGCTTACTGCCTTGCATTTATATGGCTGGCTAGCATTCACTAGATTCGTGCAGCACGCTTTCAGAGTTTCTCTGAAACCATGCTATTTGTGCAGCAGCAGTATGTCTTAAATACTCATGGCACCATATCGCCATATGCATTGGCAGTAGCAAGTTGCTGTACTTGCTTGCAGCAGCAGCAATAATCTACAACTACAGCAATAACCAACAACAGCAGCAATTCAGCAGCAGCGTAGCAGATCTGTTCCGCCAAGACCAATATCCATCACCATGCTAAAATCTTCCGAGAGTTGTCATGATTGAAATACAATTTAGTACATTATGTTTAATAAATGAATTAATAACTAATAAAAAATACAAAATAAGAGTCATCTGTGGTCTCACAATTTTGGGCCCCTTTGTATAATTGTTGGTGGATGGTTTTGGCTACACACTCTCAAGAATAGGACACCCTGAAAGAATTAAACATCAATCTTGGTAATGTTTAATGTGCATCTCTCTCAGGTTGATTTCTGTGCTACTCAGCGCACAGGGGAGCATTTTTAGGCTCTTCACTCCTTCCTGTCTCGACTCAATAGGTTTAACAGGAGACTTCAAGCATCCTGCAGGAATTCCAAAATGTGCTTGATCTGAAGAGCATGTTGAAAAGCATGTCATGTTTTGTGTGTGCAGAACTTTCTCTTGTTCTCTTCCTCTTGTTACATCACTGTCACAGGCAGTGTTGGGCAGTAACGCATTACTTAATGATGCGTTACTGCAATCCCGCGGTAATTTAACGCGTTATAATTTTCAAAATAGTAATTAGAGTATAGTTACAAGCCGAGGTCTCTATACGTTACTGCCGCGTTACAGTGTTTTATAATCTAGAGATTGTAAAAAGGATGTAGCTCACATACTGTCGAGTCAAGTGCCAGTGGATTAGAGACCTGCTCATGCGAGACCCGACGCAACGTAATCAGTAATCAGTCATTTGATTACATTTTCAGAGTAACTTGCCCAACACTGGTCACAGGTCAATTAACACAGTTTGCTTACACTTTTTCTTTAATTATCACTCATTTTCAGTTGGCTCTGATGAGTAAAGAAATGCCCTGGACTTCCTTCTGTTTATTCAAACCACACGCTTCGTAAGAAACACATACGCACTGATGAACTTGAGTGTGTTCATGTATATAGACAGCAGGAGAGAATGTAAGCGGAAGAGAAAGTTGGAAAAAAAATGAAATATGCAAAAATAGGTTGTAATTCTCCACAACAACTGTTCCTCCTTGTCATTAAGCTTTCTGTGGGTGGCCACAGTTACCAATGCATTCTCCTGTGACGCACATGCTGGAGAGCTGTGAAACTTTTTTCCAGTGTCTGTCACTGTGCTGGATTCTTGTACTGGCCTGAATGAGCACACTCAAGTTTAGATTGAACTGTTTTTACATAATACTTGACAGGACAAATTTTAACAAGGGTGACAAAGTTTCACCCTTACAAAATAGAACTGTAGCGTTAGCATGGGGATGGTGTCAGATTGTAATGCCATGGTACTTTGATATATTCCATTGCATAATTTAAATAAATACAGTACCGTTCAAAAGTTTGGGGTCAGTACGAAAAAAAAAATAATACTCTTATTCAGCAAGGATGCATTCAATTTATCTAAAGTGACAGTAAAGACTTTTACATTGTTACAAAAAATTAAATTTTAAATAAATGCATTTTTTTTATCAAAGAATCCTAAAAAAATGCATCAAGGTTTCTGCAAAAATATTAAGCAGCACAAACGTTTTCCGTCATACTGATGATATTAAAAATCTTCTTTTAAAAAACATTTAAAAACTCTTACAGACCCCAAACTTTTAAACACTGTTGTATGTATATATAGACAAAACTGCTACAAATAAATGGACATAATTGAATTGAAAAAGGCAAAATAACTATTTTATTTCCAAGTTGATAGCTAATCACTACTGCAGCATGAAGTTATGTGGCAAAAATGTAATGTACTATTGTTTAAAACATTTGTATAACAATATAAAAGACCATAGAATAATACTTATTCTTCTAGTTTGAGTATTTTTAAAGAATAGTGTGCAGTATACAGTATATAATGTAGACTATTCAGTAAATAAATTAGTATTCCATTCCAAACATGTCCAGATTGAGTGCTAGTATCTGGATAACAGAGATTTGTGAGATTGCGATGAACTGAGATGTCTTTTAGAGATTATAATTGCAGCGCTCTTTGCTGGCATTCTGCTATGCCAAACCATGTATGCAGCCGCCGCTTGCTTTAGTTAAAAATAACAGTGTTCTGTGAATGTTGATGCTTTAATAACAAATATTTACCGGGAGCGTGTATGCTGGGATTTCATAAATTTCATGGAGAAAAAAGTAACGTAACTAGTAATGTAACTAATTACTAATTACTTTTGAAATAAAGTAATCAGAACAGTAACGTGATTACTTTTAAAAGGAGTAATCAGTAATCAGTCATTTGATTACATTTTCAGAGTAACTTGCCCAACACTGGTCACAGGTCAATTAACACAGTTTGCTTACACTTTTTCTTTAATTATCACTCATTTTCAGTTGGCTCTGATGAGTAAAGAAATGCCCTGGACTTCCTTCTGTTTATTCAAACCACACGCTTCGTAAGAAACACATACGCACTGATGAACTTGAGTGTGTTCATGTATATAGACAGCAGGAGAGAATGTAAGCGGAAGAGAAAGTTGGAAAAAAAATGAAATATGCAAAAATAGGTTGTAATTCTCCACAACAACTGTTCCTCCTTGTCATTAAGCTTTCTGTGGGTGGCCACAGTTACCAATGCATTCTCCTGTGACGCACATGCTGGAGAGCTGTGAAACTTTTTTCCAGTGTCTGTCACTGTGCTGGATTCTTGTACTGGCCTGAATGAGCACACTCAAGTTTAGATTGAACTGTTTTTACATAATACTTGACAGGACAAATTTTAACAAGGGTGACAAAGTTTCACCCTTACAAAATAGAACTGTAGCGTTAGCATGGGGATGGTGTCAGATTGTAATGCCATGGTACTTTGATATATTCCATTGCATAATTTAAATAAATACAGTACCGTTCAAAAGTTTGGGGTCAGTACGAAAAAAAAAATAATACTCTTATTCAGCAAGGATGCATTCAATTTATCTAAAGTGACAGTAAAGACTTTTACATTGTTACAAAAAATTAAATTTTAAATAAATGCATTTTTTTTATCAAAGAATCCTAAAAAAATGCATCAAGGTTTCTGCAAAAATATTAAGCAGCACAAACGTTTTCCGTCATACTGATGATATTAAAAATCTTCTTTTAAAAAACATTTAAAAACTCTTACAGACCCCAAACTTTTAAACACTGTTGTATGTATATATAGACAAAACTGCTACAAATAAATGGACATAATTGAATTGAAAAAGGCAAAATAACTATTTTATTTCCAAGTTGATAGCTAATCACTACTGCAGCATGAAGTTATGTGGCAAAAATGTAATGTACTATTGTTTAAAACATTTGTATAACAATATAAAAGACCATAGAATTTATTCTTGTAGTTTGAGTATTTTTAAAGAATAGTGTGCAGTATACAGTATATAATGTAGACTATTCAGTAAATAAATTAGTATTCCATTCCAAACATGTCCAGATTGAGTGCTAGTATCTGGATTAAAGTTTGACACTGCTTTGACCTGTGACCTTTCACATGCCTGCTTTTCATTAACACCCCCAACCATTTTAATTGATTCTGATTTTTTCTAATTTTGTCTGTTTATTTGAACTGTTCATAGCCTGATCATTGTTTTTCTCTCATTTTGTCTTACATATTATAAAGTCAAATTGTTTTGGTTTACCGCACTGCAAATCACTGGAGTCCAGCAGTGACTCAGTCTTTGCTTTTTTTCTCATAGTGTATATATGGATGACATGCGCTTTTGCGAGAACCACCCGTTCATATGGTTTAAATTACAGGGTATGATATGCAGACACAGAACAAAACGTCTTTTTTATTATTTATGATATGTTGAATGCTTTAAATGATATATCCAGGTCTGTATTATATTCCATTTGAATGTATTTTTCATATGTTGGATTTGTATTGTATAGGCTGATTAAATATGCCAGGCTTGTTCTGTGGGGTTGCAGCTGTGTGCATTTGTGTGATACAGTGGTGCTTACTCCCCTCTAGTGTTAGTGTTAAAATTACAACAGTACATGAATTCTCTCTGCCAAAAAAAGTGATAAAAGCCAGATTAGGGGGAATCTGGGCTGACCACTGTTTTTAAGGCCTGCTAACTGAATTTTCTATAATTAACATGCACATTTCATGTTTGTTTTGTTTTTAGAGAGGATTTTGAAGAGGAAGGATTCTGCCAGCCGTATAGAGGGATTGCGTGTGCTCGCTTCATAGGAAACAGGAGTATCTTCGTGGACTCGCTGCAGATGCAGGGCGAGATTGAGACCCAAATCACAGGTAGCCCTTTAAAAAAAACATTCACTCCTCAGTCCTTACAAAAGACATTTCGAAACAACTCTACTGTACAGACTTAAACCGAAACATAGCTGATAAAATCAGTTTGAAGCCTTAGATAAGACAGCTTTTGCCCGCTAGAATGTGGTTTTGGACATTTATGATGGTCATAAATGAGCATTTATCATGGTATTCTTTGAGCTATGTGAATATAGTAATTATTCACGACCATCTTTTTATATATCTGCCATGGTATTACAATTTGATATCATCTCTTTACTATAGTACAGCCCACCTTCCTTTTTTCAAGGGAAAAGTTATGTAATCTGAGAGAGTTTAAAGGTTTTTTTAAGGCTAAATCTTGGTATCATATACATATGGATTGGACTAAGCCTGGCTTCAGTTTTAAATTTGAATAGTTTTTTGTTTTCTGTGACGAAGTTTACAATTGTAGCCATTTTAGATCACACAGGCATTCACTGTGGTTTCCTCTCTCAAGAGTGAGCAGTCAATTTGTTTTTGAAAGTACACAGCTTCTTGCTAAATCACAACAATTCACCAGAACTTTGTCTCTTTTTTGTTTGTGTGTAAGATATAATTTCCCTCGAATACACTAGATTGTTACGTAGCTTGTTGGAATCCACAATGGCTTATTCTTGCTTTCAAATCTGGAGGAAACCCCTGTGTAAAGGCTTGTTTCTGTTTTTTTCCAGCGGCGTTCACCATGATTGGCACCTCCAATCACCTGTCAGATCGCTGCTCCCAGTTTGCAATCCCGTCCTTGTGCCACTTTGCCTTCCCGACATGTGACCGCAGCTCTGGCATGGACAAACCGCGGGACTTGTGCAAGGACGAGTGTGAGATTCTGGAGAATGACCTGTGTAAGACAGAGTACATCATTGCTCGTTCCAACCCCCTCATCCTCAAGCGCCTCAAACTGCCCAACTGTGAAGACCTGGCCTCTTCGGACAGTCCCGAGGCTGCCAACTGCATGAGAATAGGCATTCCAATAGCTGAGACCATAAATAAAAGTAAGTATTTTGTGTAATTATTTAAAAAAAGACTTGTCAAAATGTTATTTTATTGAAAAACTAAATCAATTCTCTTCTTCTCTTCCATTTTAGGCCACAAATGTTATAACAACAGTGGTTCAGACTACCGCGGGACAGTCAGCGTGACTAAATCTGGTCGTCAGTGTCAACCGTGGAACTCGCAGTATCCCCACAGCCACACCTTCCTGGCCATGCGTTACCTAGAGCTCAACGGGGGACATTCCTACTGTCGCAACCCCGGCAACAAGCACGACGCTCCCTGGTGCTTCACCCTAGATGAGAGTGTGCGCATGGAGCTCTGCAACATTCCTCCATGTGGTGAGATGCACTACTCATATTGACATATGACTATGTTCAGAATAGCATACTACACTCATACTATTTCCAAAATATACAGTACGCATGCTATGTGAGTTTTCTTTACGCACAGAATACCGGTAAGATCTATTGAATTTGCTAAATGCTGTATCCCACAATGAAATGCACTATTAGTATAATTTATAGGCCTAGACTATTATAGTATTTATTAAAGATTTTGAATTTGATTTCATTTTTATACTGTATTTAATATAGCTTTAATTAACTTTTATTTCAGTGTTTATTACAGTTAGTTGCAAAGCCAACATTTCTAATTTTCTAAGTTTTTATGTTTTCTAATAATATATAATTTCAGCTTAATTTTTTCACTATTAGTATAATTTATAGGCCTAGACTATTATAGTATTTATTAAAGATTTTGAATTTGATTTCATTTTTATACTGTATTTAATATAGCTTTAATTAACTTTTATTTCAGTGTTTATTACAGTTAGTTGCAAAGCCAACATTTCTAATTTTCTAAGTTTTTATGTTTTCTAATAATATACAATTTCAGCTTAATTTTAACTACTAAAAACATTTTTTATATAGTTTCAGTTTTACAGTTACAATAACAGCAAAGCAATGCACCTCCCATTTCAAGTGAGATGAGAACAATAAATATGATTTAAAGTAACATGAGCTACGATTTTACTTTTTACTTTGTTTTTTTTTGTTGTTTTTTTTAATTGATTATTTCATTGGACTGCAAAAAGTTAAAATGTTTGTACACAAAATTTGGTTAAAAATGCTAAATATTTTTGAAATGATAACTGTGCATGTACTAAGGTCAACTGCATTATTAAACTGTTTTGCATGCTCTTTTAAAAATTAGTATGCAATGTACAGTACTTTTTTCAGTATGCAGTATGCTAGTATTTGATTCTGAACTTAGCCAAACTTGGGTAATCTGTGAAAGATTTTACTCCAAAACACATATTTTTAATGAGCACTGCCTTAGCTTGACTGCAAATTGTTGTCATAACAGAATCATCATATGGTTTTAGTTTATATATTTGTTTATTGATTGTCCTCAGATTTGCCCAAGCATGGCAGCAGCAGTATGGGGATCCTGTACATTCTGGTACCAAGCGTTGCTATTCCGCTAGCCATCGCCCTGCTGTTCTTCTTCATCTGTGTGTGTCGAAACAACCAGAAAGCCTCACGTCCACCAGCCCCACGCCAGCCCAAACCGGTACGCGGTCAGAACGTGGAGATGTCCATGCTCACGGCATACAAACCAAAGGTGAGATGTTACTACTAACAGATCATAACCAATTATGAAAGTGCATCTACACCACAGTGTATCAGTGGATTTCAGCACAAAAACCTGCATTTTATTCTCTTACTACCCAAAATTCAGGTGCTAAATGCGCTGAAATAAATTATTAAAGGAGACATATTATGCCCCTTTTTACAATATGTAATATAAGTATCTGGTGTCCGCAGAATGTGTCTATGAAATTTCAGCGCAAAATACTCCACAGATAATTTATTATATCATTTTGAAAATGCCTATTTTGAGTGGAAGCAGAAACACGCTGTTTTTCGGGCCTGTCTCTTTAAATGCAAATGAGCTGCTGCTCCCCGCCCCTTTTTCCAGAATAGAGCTGCGCCATTACAGCTCATACCTGCTAAAAACATCTGTTTTGGTTCTGATAATCATGTTTATCGCGCTGAAATCATGCGTTTTAAACCATATGAGTTTTAAACTTCTGATATACGGTTTTCTGAGAGCACACATCGAAGCACACGGACAGAAAGCAGCTGTCACAGCATGTGAGTATGGAGCCAGAATGATCTCAATAATAATTCACGCAAAAGACGCGATGCACACATGCGTAACCCAATTCACATGCATGAGAAATAATTCACGTGCACAAAAAAAA